GTCGTGCAGAAGGAGATAAAGGTTGTGATGTGGCCTGCAAACAGATCACAGGTCCTCCAGGGAGACACTGAGCCCACTCACTGTGGAGAGAAATGTGGATGTAGGAGGCAGAGGTTTCCACTGATGACGGCGTCTGCCTGAAGAGAGCCTCCTCCTCGACAGCTCTTAGAGAGACGACAGCGAGGAGGCGGCGGAGGAGGAGGGGGAGGCAGAGCGCCGACTCCTGCCTGCCAAAAGCTGCTATAAATAGGAGCACCACCACGGAGCGGATGTAGCAGGATGTTCAGGAGGAGGACGGTTTCTGGATGATTCAGGGATGCGATGAAGAGGAACACAAGGAGGAAGACGGGAAGAACAGAGCGAGGAGCAACGTCCCAAATGCAGGAGAAAATTCTTTATTACCCGATTATCTCCTTGAGTCCCTTCACATTTCAGGCACCCTGTGTAACCATAACATCGAGTGTTTGTAACTAACTGTTTCTAGAACGCCAACAATCAGATAAAATCAGAAAGCGTTCATGTTCAGTTCATCAGGTCAAACCAATATGGCTTCAATCACATTCATTACATTATGCTTTCTTAAATTGTGCTTCAAATATTAAGCGCTGGTCGACCGTTTGGTTTGTCACAGGTGGATATTTAGAGAGCCGCATTTATAACACCCTGTTTAATTTCATTGTTCCTGCAGAGTCCTATCTAATATACATCTCAGTAACGTGTTGAATGAAACGGAAACATTATACTGTTGGTATAATATATATTAATTTTATAATGTTACTATATTGATTATAACATTAGTATACCATATAGTTTAGGGCTGGGCAATAAAATAATGATAATTGTCACAATGTAATTTTCCTTAATATCAATATAATAAATGTTCAATATATTGTCAGTAAATATTTGGTTTAATTCATTTGAATCACAAACAAATTAGCCTTTAATTTTTCTATAAAAATATTTTGTTGTTGGAGGGAAAAGGACTGAAAAAAAATGTACTAATCATATTTTTTGAAAAATATTTTATCTTAATATTTTGAATGTTTTACTCAGATTTGTGAAGTGATTTACTGTTCGTCACATTCTGACCACAACGAAAAGTTTAACCACACAATGAACCATCTGGTTTCTTAAATTTAAAAAATCTGCCTTTAAAACTTTAAAGAAATAACGATTTGACATTTATCGTGATAATTATCGATATCAAATGATATGAAATGTTTTTATCGTGATAACATTTTTGGCCACATCGCCCAGCCCTACCGTTAGTATTATATTACTTCCAGTTGCAGCAGTTTCTTTTTTGTAGGTAGTAAAAATGCTCTACATGTTGGTTCAGTTAGTCTCCAAGTTGTTAAAGCTAAGTGATAACTCGTCAATAATCACAACCATTCATGCTTTTGCCGTTTCACTCGCAACGCAATATGACTTTTCCCCCAAGAGCAGGGCATGTGGCCATGAACTACACACTGTACCTTTAAAGCTCATCAATATTTGCAGATTTAAAATGGGTACAATGACACATATATGATCAACTTTATAAGGTGAAAATACTTGCTAATATGCTTTAAACACCAGATGACCCAACTGATAAAACAGCATATTTTAACATTAGGTTTGGTTGGTAGCTGAAAGGATCTGCCTCGTCTGCTGGAACTATTCATTACTAAAGTTTAACTATGATCTTATCTGGCACTAAGTACTTCAAGTAACACGTGGAGCTCCGTCCAGATCTGTCTGCGTCCAGCTGAATGTTAAGAGCAGCTCACTAAATACTTTACGGCTGCGCAGCTGATCAACTTCCGGCACAATCTATCGAGTGAAAGCCGTCGATGGCAGCTGATCAATGGGTCTTAATTTAGACCGGTTGTGATCAAACTGCCACAGAGCAGGAGTTACAGCCGAGCGGTTAATCACACGCCGTGTCCATCTGTAACCCTGAGATTTAAGAGATTCCCAATCCCTCAGATTAACAATAGAATCAATCACATGATCCATGCAGGACAGCCAGCAATAATCTGACGCCTGAGGGTTCAGAGGTCAACGCGGCGCTCCACCCTCCACCCCGGCGCTGTCCAATCAGAGCCGGAGGGGTCAGAAGGTCAACTGGGAGGTTTGTTTCATGGAGTACTTCAGAGGCTTTCTACGCCACAGTTTATAAAGATTAAAGAGGACGTTTCCTCTGGTGTTTCCTCTCACACGCCGTTACCTGCCGTGATCTCACCTGAGGCGCCGTCCAGACCACCCAATACGATCTCCGTCCACAGCAGCGTTTCTATCTAGTGGCCGTTTATGTACACTGGGCATGTGCGAATAAAGAAATGCAGAGGAAGACTGTAAGTGTTATCGGCACGGTGCAAAATATATTAATAAAAACACCAAAAACTTGGTTTCTGCTTTGCATGACTCAGAGAGCCAAACGTCATCGTTTCTGAAGTCCTCCGTTTTTGACCGGAGTTTTAAAACGTTTTCAAACTTCTCCGTTTTCGCCGTTTCAGTCTGGACGGGAGGTGCAAACGCAGCAGGTGGTCTTTGACAGCCGAACGTACGAGCAGCGTCTGTTCTTACTGAGAAACTCTCAAACCAGAAGCAGCAGCTGGGACGTTCACGCCGGAGTTCCAGCATCCTCTGATATTAGCAGGGCTGCAGCTAACGATTATTTTCTCGATTAATTAAACGGTGGAAAATGTCGATCAACGCTTCACAAATGTCTTGATTTTCCACTACTCAAAGTCACGGAGGAGCAAAGACACCAGAAAATATTCACATTTTATAGTTAATATTTTTTCCTAAGCCTTTTCTTAAAACATTATTCAAACCGATTAACCGTTATAGACCCGAGGCCCGCTAACCTTCCAGGGCAGCTGTATGAACGTCTTCCAGGAGGCAGGTAGAAACACTTCTGTCGACAGATGGAGCTGGACGGTGCAGAGACCAACTGATCAATGCATCAATTCCACAGATCAGTACAAACTATAATGTGGTAAAAATCAATATATCCGTCAGTGCACGTGTTTTGGCAGATATCTGCTCCTAAACGGCCAGGAATTTAATCAACGTGTAGAAACATTCATTAATTATTACTAATCGATCAGTTCGGTATTGGAAGGTGGAGACGGATCCACGTTGATGTTGACATTTTAAAAAGGAGAACATAGTTCAAAGGCTCTTTTCTGAGGCCAGATTCAGCCGACAGTCACACTATAGCGTTTCCTCATGACGAGATCAATCAGGTTTAACGATGCTCTCCGCTCACCACAGGTGTGTTAACTTTGACAGATCAGCGTGCTGTCTGGGCTGAGCCTCCCTCCTCTGTGTGTGTGTGGTCGTGGTCGGTCGGCGTTTCCCTGCACAGCACATGTTGACCACACATGCACGTGCCTGCCAGCCTGCCACACTCCCAACTCCACAGCCAATCGCGCCTCAGCGCTGCTGCAATCGGAGCCTCCGACTGGTCGGCTCACTGAAGCAGAGGCGACGAGCGGCTCCGGCGGCCTATCGTGTCGCGTCAGGTCAAACAGTAAACACAGCCGCTCGGTGACAGCGAGTCAACAGGGTTTCCTCCTCAGCTGTTGTCTGACAGAGACTGCAGCAGAACCTGGTTTAAATTTTCATGGATTTAGGGGTTTGAATTAAAATGTTGCTGAGTAAATATGATCCCACGCCGCTGCTGCTGTGATGGAGTGTTCAGGTTTAAGGGTGTGCATGTAAACTGAATTTAACGACTTCGCAGTTGTCAACACGCCGTTTGTGGCGATAAAAAGAGCACTGAGAATATTTTCAGGCTGCTTTTAAATGATACCCCGCTGCCTTTAAAGGGTATTTTTCCACCAGGACCTTCCGTCCTCGTGTTTTTGTGTCTATGTGACTAATTAGGACATCATTTATTTAAATTGCACCAGTGTTAAGCGAGCGCGCTGCAGTCGGCAGCAGTGAAACAGGGCTTCGTCGTAATCCTTGTGGGCAAAAGTACATCAACTGAAATTCTTGTTTTTATCGCTGACGGGCTCGGATTGTTATTCCAAGTGTCTGACAGCATTATGGAAAGGATCCCTACAGAGAGAGACCTTTTTGTAAAGAAGAAGAACAGTCACGACATCGCTCTCGTCAAAGCCACCAGACTCCATTGATAAAAACAGCAATTTTACCTCTCTTCTACTTGATCGGTTAGTTTGTGTCTTTGTGTGACTTTGGTGTTAAAACACCAAAGTCACACAAAGACACAAAAACAAAACAGAAAAACAAAACAAAGAACAACAGAGTCAAACAACAAACAAACAAACAAACAAAACGATGCAGCGGCAGACCAGCAATTCCCGTGTTCTGCAAGGTAAAATAACTGTTTTTATCAAGGGAGTCTGGTGGATTTGACAAAACGCAAAAACAAGCTCTTTAGTGGACGGACTGTTTTGCCCGTAAAGATCACATTACAGGCCTGTTTTATTCTGTCAAAATTAAAATAAGTTTTTGCCACATTTAGGAAGACGTTTGTATTCCCAGAGTACGGATATTAACTTCGTGAGTACGTGGTAATTATTCGTTTTTTTTATAAGATTACCAAAGTTGTAAAAAAACGTAATCACATAAAATTGCCAGTAAAGAAAACTGAACGATCAGCAATGATTTTTATTTGTTGGACTGTCAATTTCTCACATTTTATTGCTCACGGCATCCTGATTAGAGCTGAAACTGTTACCGGCGAGTCGGTTTACAAGTGGCTTTGGCGTGTCTCCGTGGCGAGGATTCACCGCTTCTCTTCTTGGGTCACTTCGGACTTATTGAGTATTTGTTTTCTGACATTTCAGAAACCAAACGATCGACTCGTCGGTCTGATTACTGTGAACAGACTCCAGCTTGGTTTTCTACTTTTTTTAAATTTTCTACCGGTTTCATAAACAAACCAACAAACCGGCGGTGCCCTCGCCGTGACCTCACTCGCGCCCGCCCACCCGACCCTCCTCCCAAAGCGTCGGCAGGTGCGTCGGGACGCTTCCACCCACCTTGCAGCCGAACATGAGGGAGATGGTGCTGTTGGTGCAGGCCACCTTGCAGTGGCACAGCATGGGCGAGAAGCACTCCACCTTCTTCGAGCCGGGGGACATCTTGTCGGCGCCGGGGCAGTTGGCCGACAGCCGCCTCCTCCGAGAGCGCTGCCGGCTCCTCCCTCGCCGCCCGGCTCCGGCCGCGGCTCCCCCCGCACCTCCTCCTCCGCCTCCACCTCCAGCCCCTCCACCTCCTCCTCCACTGCTGCTGCTGCTGCTCCCTGCTCTCACCATCCGCCCTCATTCCTCGCGTCGCTCCATCGCGGCGGGGAGGAAACGACTCCCAGAGCTCTTCCTTCATTCAGGGAGAACCTCCCCCCACCTCCTCTCCGCTGACCCCTCCTCCTCCTCCCTCTTCTTCTCCTGGTAGAATATATTCCTCTCCCTCTTGACCTCCTCCCAGGCGTTCGCCTCGACTCCTCTCTCCCTCGTTCTCCTCCTCTCTCTCTACACTGACAGAGTGGTGGTGATGAGAGCGAGCGAGCGAGCGCCGCTGTGTGTTTAGCGTGCGTCTCTGTGTGTGTGCTAAGCTCTCCTCTGTGGGGGTGTGATTGGTCTCTGGGGGGGAGGGGGGAGCGAGAGAGGTCGGTCACATGACTCATCGGAAACGAGGAGAACTGAACGAGAGAGAGAGAGAGAGAGCGAGAGACATAGCGAGAGGCAGAGAGAGCGAGAGAGAGAGAGAGACAGACAGAGCGAGAGAGAGAGAGAGGGGGGGGGGTGTATCCTGAGGGAAGGTAGAGTGATGTAGGACAGAGTCAGTGATGTGGAGGAGAGGAGGAGACAGAGGAGGAGGAGACAGAGAGGGGAAGACAGGAGGAGACAGAGGAGGAGACAGAGAGAGGAAGACAGGAGGAGACAGAGAGGGGAAGACAGGAGGAGACAGAGAGGGGAAGACGAGGAGACAGAGAGGGGAGGAGGAGACAGAGGGGAAGACGAGGAGGAGACGAGGAGAGACAGAGAGAGGAAGAGGAAGAGACAGAGAGAGGAAGAGGAAGAGACAGAGAGAGGAAGAGGAAGAGACAGAGAGAGGAAGAGGAGGAGACAGAGGAGGAGACAGAGAGAGGAAGAGGAAGAGACAGAGAGAGGAAGAGGAGGAGACAGAGGAGGAGACAGAGAGAGGAAGAGGAAGAGACAGGGATAGGAAGAGGAGGAGACGGAGAGAGGAAGAGGAGGAGACAGGAGGAGACAGAGAGAGGAAGAGGAGGAGACAGGAGGAGACAGAGAGAGGGAGAGGAGGAGACAGAGAGAGGAGGAGACAGAGAGAGGAAGAGGAGGAGACAGAGAGGAAGTGGAGGAGACAAGAGAGCGAGCGCTACAGCGTCCACTGTGGTGGCTTTTGCCGGCTGAGCAGGCTAACTTCCTGTTAGCGCTCCGCTAACGTGAATGTGGGTAAAATTGTAAAGGTGCGGCTGGTGAAGCCTTTTCAGACGTTATCGACCGAGTGGATCACATTATGTCATTTCGCTCCGGTTGTGACGGTCAAATATATCGATCCACCCAGTTACAGCCGCTGGTAAAATTTCCTTAAAAGCACGGGCACTTCCTGTCGGCTCAGGCATTGCGAGGCTACCCAGCCGACCAATCACAGTTCTTACGGTTCGCGTCGCCTCGACGTGTAGCTACATTTTAGAGGAGGTGCACATCGAGCGTAGGCGACAGCGTAAGGTAGGTGGTTACGCAGAGGCTCGCCGTCGATTTGATGCAAAAGTATAAATTGCACTTTAGACAACTCGCTGCTGAATGCGTTTACCGTCTCTTCATCAATATTTACGGACACTACTTCGGCCCGCCGCCGTCTAATTTGTTCCGCCATAGATTCAAAGTTAACATTTGAACATATGAAACTATTTTCACACTTCACATCTCTAATGTTGTATTTTGTGCCGCTGCCATAAGCTCGCGCGCTCACACACTTGAGACGAGTTCAGTACGGCAACGTTTGTGAGAACACGCTGTAGCTAGCCGCTCCTACATCTGGAGTGCACTCATATTCAAGCCTTTACGGTAAATCCACTGAAAGGGCCCAGAGCGAGCCGACAGGCAGGTTAGAGACTTTATCCTGTCAGTTTGTCTCTTTAGTATGAGCGTCCTGCCTGAAGAGACGCTCGACATCATTTATCAAACTGTGTCGGACTTTGTGAACTCAGCGCCAGGACACACGCGTGACAACGTCCAGTTTTCAAACTAAGGGTGTTAAAACAACGAATATACTGAATGGAAATAAGATTAACTGGATTATATTTACAGGAAGTATAAAACATGTTTCATGTTTCCATTAAAAGGGAAAAAAATAAATAAAATGTCAGGGAAATGACTAATTCTTTGATTTTGGGTTGCTGGAAAATGAAATCTATATTTGTTGACCTTTTTGCTGTGTCCTCGCCATTTATATCTGAACAATAGTTTACTAGAGCACAACATTTTGGACGCCGAGGAGCTGACAAGCAAGGAACTAACAACCTCAGCAGAGGAAACGGCGCCCATCTGATTTAGGGGTGCAACAACTAATCGTCGTAGTCGACAAAAATCGATCATTAAATTTGTTGCCGACGAATTTAATAATCGATTCGTTCATGTCGTCGTCGGGCCGTAACGACGCCGTCAGCTTAACGGACTAAAGTGATGTGAACAGTAAAGTTACTAAAACAACATCAGCGCTGCAGAAACACCTTCACCACCTCAAACCTCCAGAGTGTGGCAGCACTTCACTCTTTAAGCTGAGCTCTCCTGGAAACACCGTAACGCTGTTGCTCTGTGGATGATCACGACTCGGTAAGCTAGTCAAAAAAGAGTCCACTATACTTGTGGGGACTGACCAGCTTTGTGGGGACTGACCAGCTTTGTGGGGACCTTAATGCTGGACCCCACAAAGATTAAAGGGCTGATTGAGGGTAAAGACCTGGTTGGGGTTCAGGTGCGTTATGTTAATGAGATGTCCCTCCGCAGACAGTAAGACGAATGTTAGTGTGCGTGCACGATAAGGACGCAGATTTGGGCGGAGACGACAGGAAGCTGAGAGATTCCTCCTGACGACAGAATCTACAGAGCGAGACGGTCCGTCGCTCCCATCTGGTCATCGCTTTTAATTGGCCCGTTTCCCTGCATGGCTACAACACACACACAGAGAGAGAGTCTGCCTCCTCCTCGGTGCGTTAGTCACTCAGGGTGACGAGGAGATGAGAGAAAATGTGAGAAGTGAGGAGGAGTGAAAGGGTATAAGTTCTTCATCTTAATAAATGATTCAAACCGTCCGCTGCGAGGTCCACGCCACATGTGACACATTCAGATTTCAAAAGCAGTAAACACAGAACAGGAAATCTAACTACAGGCAGCTTCGACTGAAAAACACTTTCAATTAAAAACAGAACAATGAGCTTCAGATCCAACGAGTGACGGACACTTTCCTGAGAAGCCTCATGAAACCAGCGTCCACTCAAATTAAAGAGTCTTTAAAGAGAACTGAACTGAGAACTACAACACAGGGCTGGAAATGCAGTACAATAAGTACCTTTAAAGGCCACATTACTGCACGTTAGCGGCTGTAACCTCATTGTACATTTTCTCTTCAGCAATGACTTCTTAAGAATCATTACACACATGATCCTGGTCGTTACATCTCTGTCGGGCTGATTCACACCAGACTCCCTTCAAAAAATTACAGAGTTTTGTGAGTTGTTGAGTTAGAGGAAACTTTATAAACTTTGTGAAACGCTGTCTGCTACAAATTCGTCCTCTCTCGTAAATTTGGCAAATGGAAGACGTGAAGTTCTTCCTTTCTTTGAACAAAAATATTTTGCTTGTTAACAGCAGATCAGCTGTAGTTAGTTCTTCCTATATGTACCCGTTTAATCCATGACGAGACTTTTCTGTGGCTGCAGCACAAACAACCTTAAACAACCTCAAGCTACATTTAAAAGCTGGTATTTGCTAAATAAAGAGGCAACGACTAATTTGGGGATTTATAATCTGAAAAGCATGTATTGTTATTGTGAACTTCACACTTTTATACACAAGTTTAATGTGTATGTAAATGATGCCTTTCCCGGCTGATCATTTTTTTTCAATAATCAATTATTCAGCAATGAAAGCAGATGTTAGGGGAACAAGACTAAACAAACTACAAGGTGTCCGCTGTAGTGTGTCTGATAACAGCTGTCTCGAGTTCGGAAAACGTTCGAGGAAATCATTTTACTGTGAGATTTAAAAAAAATATAAATAAAATAGGTGAAATTTTACAGTTTAATAAAACACTTAAAAGACCAATGATCTGCTGCGGCTCCGTTACTCGGGGCAGGAGGAGGAACTCCAGAACCCAAAGACAGAAGCCTCCATTAAAATGATTTACATTTGGACAGTTTGCACCAATTAGCTTCCATCTGGGTTTGCTGCTGCTGCCGCCGCCGCCTCGTTATTAAAGCCTGAGTCAGGCTGCACACACACGCGTCACTCATCACACACACACACTCCAGCAGTGCAGACTGAGCGTGTGCAGTGACAGTGACAGCAGCTGACAGGTTCAGATGTGATGGCCGCCTTCTAAATTTACCCCGCTGCTTTTTTACACACACTCCAACACCAGGACCCAGAGTGCAGCTCTGTCTGTGTGTTTAGATGCGTTTGTGTGGGCCGCACAGGACCCGGGTCTGTAGTCCTCCCTGGTCTTGGGTCAGTCAGCTCTCGGATTTTCTAACACAGTGAAAAAATGCTTAAAATGTGCTTTTTATTGCTGTGTTTTGGTTTGAGATGATTTTATTGTGGTCAGTCTGTTACTGCCGCACAGCTGTGGAGGTGGCCCCCTGCTGGACTCCACTGGAAACACCAGCTCAGTGCTGTACTGGAAAATCCTGTTTTTACTCTCTTTATGAGGGACATGCCCTGTTCTGGGTTTGTACTGAGCAGCCGTGAAACAGGTCTGCAGCGTAATCCTTGAAGGCAAAAGTGCGTCCGCTAAAGTTCTTGTTTTTCTCAGATTGTTATTCCAAGTGTCTGACAGCTTTATGGACAGGATCCCTACAGAGAGAGACCTTTCTGTAAAGAGTTTAATCAGAAACAGTCGCCATGTTGCTCTCGTCAAAACCACCAGACTCCATTGATAAAAACAGTCTTACCTCTCTGGTCCACCGCTGCCTCCATCGGGTAGTTTATGTTGTTGTGTGATTTTGTTGTTTTTGTTTGTTTGTATTATTGTGTGACTGTGATATTTTTAACCCTTTAAAAACACCAAGTCACACTATAACATCAACAAACTAACCGACCGAGGCAGCGTTTGACCAGCAGCGCCTGTGTTCTGCAAGGTCAAATCACTGTTTTTCTTAAAAGGGAGTCTGGTTAAAAAACAAAAAATGAAGGATTTTGCACTGAACTTGTTCAAATTCAACATAACTGAATAGCAGCGTGAAAGAAAGGCAAATTTATCAGTCTTCATCTTCCAAACCAAACAAATCACTGAACAGCAACTACTTCAGATATTCAAAACAAAGTCTGTGTGAATTTAGAAGACACGCTTCAGACCGGCGTGGACAGAAACACCACCACAAACATGCAGCAGGGGCGGCACGCCATCAAACAGGCCGCAGACTGATGTTTCCATGACTTTGTTTTCCACCCCGGAGCCTGAAATATTTCCTTCCTGGTTTCCATGTTTCTTTCCGTCTGCAGTCGGGTAAAA